TAGTTAACCAAATATTGCTGAAATTTTCAAATAGCTTTGAAATTAAATTCAGATCTAGGAAAGAGTAAATATTCAGTTGTTATTCAAACCTACATTTCTGTGATTTGCAAATAGTTTCATTTTGCATTTGAAGACATTTTTTTCAGAGCAAGAGGTTAGAGGTAGTTGGTATCTTTATGAATGACTTGATATAAATTCTCTACAACAGTGCAAATGACAGAGCCAATTTTAGTTGATTAGCATTTGTTTCTCTTTATTGCTTTTACAGTAATCAACACAAAACAGAAGTATCATGTATTAAGTGCTTTTCTAGAATTGTTTTTTTAAATAGCCTTTTTCTCTATAAGCAATTTACACAGAATCATTAGAAGGAACAAAAATGATTATTTTTATTTTCTGTGTACAATGATTAAGGAAAGATGCAGTAGAAAAAAACATAGATTCAACAATTTTAATAAATATAATTTATGTGTTAGAAATAGAGAAACTTTTCAGGCTACTGTGGAAAACTGGGAGGACTAGGAGCACAATAAAAGGGGATGATTTTTGCCCTTTAAGTGCTGAGAGTGTTTTTGAAGTCACTACATCATGCTGGGTTTGGGATAATAATTCCGATATCTTAGAATCATGACTTGAAGAAAATCAAGAGCTGTTACTCGGAGCTTTCACTCTAGATGATTTAAAGAAGGGGAAAATAAATTTATCTGGTATTTTCTGTTCTCCTTTTTGCTAATTCTGCTGGTGTTAGAGGTTACCTGGCGGAAAGAGTAATGGGGATTCATGTGTATATAAGAATATTTCTATTTGAAAGAGTGAAACGTATGGAGATGCAAATGGATAAAATGCAGGTATTTGTCCGTATAAAAATACTATATTATTCTACAGCCATGTCCCTAAATAGTGTAAGTTTGGAATTGTAAGATATGGTATTATTACATAGTATAGAATACTACAGTATGCCATATAGAAGGGTGGACAGTCATGACTGGTGCTAATTCCACGTTATGCTGGATTCTGATACCTTCATACTGAATTAACCCCCGGCTACGCAGATAGTCTCATAGACTTCAGTGGGGACTACTCCTTGTAGTATGAGTAAGTATCTTAGAACTTGGCCATTATGCAATTTCTACTTGATCTGAGATGCATGGATTTCTAGGAAAGGACTGCATTTGAAGAATGGTGTGTTTACATACATACTATATGGAACTTGGGTCCTGCCAAGAAGTTTGCCTGCAGTAAGGGATATTATTCTCTGGGAGATCTTCATTTTTATCAGGTATTCTTTGTTGGGAAAGGATAAGAATTATCTATATGAACATGGCACTGAGAAGTTATTTGGACACACTGTGCTGATCGGAAGTAGCAAAAAGAAAGCAGGAACTGATTTATTTAGTGTGGACAACAATTTATCCTCTTGATTGCTTTCCCTGATGTTTGTCTTTGCATGAACCACTGTCTGTCTCCCATGTTCACTCTTATATAGCCCTTCTTCTAGCAAGTGTTGCTTCCCTGGAAGAGGAAAAAAATTAGATGCTTTCAACTTTTTAATGCAGTTTAGTAGCTGGAAAGGAGACTGATATGGCGTCAGCCAGCTCTCTGTAATTTCTGTGCCACCAGAGATCTATAAATGAGGATTTGGAAACATCTGCCATACAACATATTTAGATATCTTCTTTTCATTATAAATACTATTTGCTTAGTGCAAGGTAAGGTCTTCCTAAAATTACCTGCAAATTCAGGTCTAGTTAAGGGTTAACCAGGGCAGTTAGGGTGAAAGAAAGGTGTCTGGGCCTGCTACTTCCATTCTCTATTACCTATAAGCAAGCTAATCAGTAATACAGAAATATATATTATGGGCAACCCTCGCCATTTGTGGGGGATACGTTCTCGTATCCCTCGCGAACGGTGAAATTCACGAATAAGGCACTATGTTTATGAATGCCGTCTGCGTTCATGAACTCAGTGCCCCCGGCGGTTGGGGGGTGGGGCATGGCTGTTCTGGCGATGGCAGGAGTGCGGTGGTGGCAGTGGGAGCATGGCAGCGGGAGTCCAGCAGCAGCAAGTGCAGAGTGCCTGAGGAGCTCCTTTAAGTGTATTTAAGAAGTGGGTTTGGCATTCGCGAATATTTGAAACCACGAATGCCGAACCCATGAATAGTGAGGGTTTCCTGTACATACAGTTTTGTGGTTTGAACTGAAAATGTACAAATAACAATCAGAAGGCTCCCAAGAAGATCTTGTTGGCTAGGGACAGACATTCAAAAACCTGGAGCCTGAATTGATTCAGTCTTGGCAGGTTAGTTAACCTGCCAAGATTGAACTGATTTGCAAGTGCACAGACATTCACGTTTAATTCTGGAAATGCAGGCACATGCCTGTAGTGGCTCAGGCTGGAAGCTGGGGGGCACTAGAGCGGCCTTCCCTTTCCTTTGCAGCAGCCGTAAGTCTGGAGGGAAGCTGACGTAGAGGGGTGTGGCCAGATGCCTGCAGGGGCTAAGTATGATTGTGGAGGGCTTTAAATTCCCACCCTGGCCTGTAGGGACCCCAGCCAGCCTGTGCCTGGAGGGGTAGGGAGAAGCAGCCCTTGCCAGGCTTGTACCCAAGGCCAGACACCAGCTGGGACAGTGCCTCAGGCATAGGGGGCAGGGATTAAACTCCCCTGTCTCCGGGGAGGCACGGCAACCCAGTTGGAGTCTGCCCAGCTTTCCCTCCTGCTCTTGCTCGGGTGGTGGGGAGCCTGGCCAGAGCCAGCTGGGATGGCTCTGCTATCCATCCAGGGCTGGGGCTGCAGCTGCAGCTGCAGCTGGGGCTGTGGGGCAGAGCCCAGCCAGCTTGCAGGTATTGCTGAGGGCAGAGGCAGAGGGGTAGCCTGGGCAGGGGCTGCATGGCCAGATTGCTTCTGGCTTCCTGTGCCCAAGCTGAGGGGGCTGTCATGGAGCCCCAGCTGGCTGGGAAGGGCCCTGTGCAGGCAGGGTCCTTCCCAGCCTGCTGAGGCTGCTTGAGAGCTTGGGCTGGCAGCATGGATGGGGATTGGCTGGGGAGTGGGATTCCCAGGCCAGTTTGGAGACACTGGTGGACCCCAAGCCCAGCCATTGCACCCCCTGTCCTGTGCAGCACCCAGGGCTGCAAGCACACAACCAGCTGTGGGCTGGCTGATGGGGCTGTTCTGCCCCCTTCGCCATGCTGCTCTGGGTGGGGTGGGGAGAAGCTTCAGCCTCATGGCTCCTGCCCAGCACATGGAGCTCTGGCTGCAGCCCCTGGATGTCTTCAACCCGGGCACCTTCTGTTTTCCAAGGTATCTGGGTGGAAGGTGTCTGGGAGCTGCAGTTTGGCTAGGAACAGACGTTACACATAAACTGGTTTAAAACATCAGAAACTAGCTTAAACCTGTAACAGAACAGAAGTTTAGTGCACATAAGCCAGTTTCAAAATGGCCAAAACTGGTTTAAGATAAACCTTTGTTGAATGTAGTGTCAGACTTAACTGATTTGGGTAAAACCAGTTTATGCAACTTTTGTCCCAGACCCCTTGCTGGTTCAAGTTAAATCACAGCCCTCTAACTTCCCACCATGCTTTCCAGCCTGGGCTGTGCTGTGCTGTGCTGTGCTGTCTGCTGCAGCCGAGAAGGATTTGGTGTGGGGAGGCAGGGACTATGCCCCCCCAGGGAAACCCTGGCTGGGGCCTGGGGCTTGGGGGGTGGTTAAACTCCCCTTCCCCTGAGTACAGAGCTGCCCTGCCCTGCTAAACTTACTGCTGGCTGCAACTATGGACTGCAAATCCCAGAGGGGCCTGGAAGTATGAAGAGGAAGTGATGAGCAACCCTGCAGAGTCCTCCTGTTGTGATTTTGGACTGCAAATCCCAGAGACCTCGGCAGCAGCAGAAAGAGGAGGCAAACACAGTTCATGCTGGCTGTGCGCCAGGGAGCTGTGCTCTAGTGCCCCTTGGCTTCTGGCCTGAGTCACTGCAGGCATGTAGCTGCAAAAAGTTAATGTCTGTTCATTTGTTAGTTTAATCTCTGCAGTTTAGACTAACCAGCAGAGACTGAATCAATTCAGCCTTGGGTTTTTTGACTGTCTGTACTTAACCTCTTTGTGTAACTTCTGTCCCTAGCAGTTAGGGTACATTAGACAAGAAGAGCCAGTACGTCAGATCCCCATCAGTTGGATCATCATTTTTATCAATATTGGTGTAGCTCCACTGAAGTTAATGGACTCACCATTTAGTGTAATTTCAACTGGTGTAATAAAACTTGATTCGTCTAAAAATAATCAAGCTACTCCTCTCCTCTCCTCTCTTTTACTTTGTTAATACCATGTGTATGAATTGCAGAAATTACATCAAGTTACTTTCTTTTATAGCTAAATTATGCAGAAACAAGGCTTAGTCAATTGGAAAACTGTCACTGTGAGAAGACTTGTCAAGTAAATGGAGTGATCTATCGAGACAAAGACTCATGGGTAGAAGATGATCACTGCAGGAATTGCACATGCAAAGTAAGAATCTTCTAACAGATTTAAGGGGTAGGACCTAACTAAAGTGTGAAACTGATCCTTGAATACATAATGCTAACTCTGAGAATTATTACCATTTTAGTATGCATCTAGTTGCAAAGTGAACAATTGGGAGGGAAACAGTAAAGAGTTGACATTTCTTATGTGAATACTTAGTAAATAAAATCTGCTTTCCCTTGACAACACTTTCGTATTTGTTCTAATTATATCTGTGAGAAGTTCACCGTTTGGGGGGGAAATGACAGTGTTGTCTATGTTCAGTTCCGAATTGTTTCACTGCAGTAGTTTTTTAAAAAGGAAGCATTATCTTAATTTTATTCATAGATGCTCAATTGCATCTTGCATGGTAACAACATGCAAATTTTGTTTTGGGTGTTTATCATTTTGAAAAACAGGAACAGAAGAGAATTAGTATGTAAATCTTGTCTGGTTGAAATTATTTGATAAATATCTGAAGAGAGCCTTCGTTTGCTCAAGAAAATAGAAAACTGGTTGTTAAGATCTTGAAGATGATTGGCAAAGCCTGGAAAAAGTGTTATTTATGTTCTTGTAAAGATGGGGTTACGGTTTTTTGCCAACTCTGCTTTGCGCGAGTAAGTGGGATAAGACAAATGGAGTATATCAAAATGGTAATAGGAATGGTACGAGCTCACATAAGTAAGAGTCAGATAAGAATACACTTGTTGCTGAAGGATGGCTCTAAAATTCAGAATTCTTTTTCTGGTACAGTGTTTTATATTTTATACAAAATATAAATGAACACAAACGCATATGGCTAAACTTAATCTTTCTAACTTTTGCTTAGAGTGGAGTAGTGGAATGTCGAAGGATGTCCTGTCCCTCTCTCAACTGTTCTCCTGATGCTCTGCCAGTACATGTGGGAGGCCAGTGCTGCAAAATATGCAGGTGTAAGTACATTGCATTGATCTTTTCCTCCCATCCCCTATTTAACTGGAGTTATACTTGTTTTGAAAGTAGGAACACTTTTTTCTATGAATTTCACAGGTTCTGCTAAATCAATGCAGGAAACGTCGGTCAAAGTGTCGGCTTTGGATAAAAAAAACCTGAATAAATAGTGGTAGCTATTTGCTGAAAGAGAGTTAGCTAGGTGATAAAATGAAACATTTTGTATTTCTGAAATTATATTGCTTCATTCTGTTGGCATGAAGAAAACCATGCCTCTATTTGTGCCTATGCAAAGGAAGAAGAGGCTCATTTCTATTTATCTGTTAAACCCTGTTGATATTAATTAGAGCAAAGCAGTTAGTCTGTACTTTTCATAATGAAATGCAGTGACTCAGGCTTTTATTTTTTGTTGACCCTTTATTTAAGGATGGAAGGTTGCTCTTTAAAATGAGAACAAAAAATAAGAGCTTGATTAGGCCTGGAATCATAGTTATTATATTTAGTGAAAAATTATTTCAGAATAAATTCATGGAAAACAAGAAGATAAGTATGTTTTGCAGTTGGCCTTGTTGAGACATTCCCTCACTATCCCTGCAAATAGAAACTGTATCTGAAGAGAATATTCAACATTCAGTACTTTCATAGATGTCATAGACATTAGGGCTGGAAGGAACCTTGGAAGATCATCAAGTCCCAGGGGCAGGAAGTCAGCTGGGGTCACAGGATCCCAGCAAGATAAATATCCAATTGACTTTTAAAGGAATCTAGAGTAGGTGTTTGTACCACCTCTGGTGGCAGTCTGTTCCAGGTCTTGGGACCTTGGACTGTAAAGAAGTTCTTCCTTATGTCCAGCCTGAAACGGTCTTGGAGAAATTTGAGACTGTTTGACCTTGTCATCCCACGGGGTGCTCTGGTGAACAGGTGATCCTGATGTACACCCCTTATATACTTATAGGCAGCCACCAGATCCCCTCCTGAGCCTGTGCTTTTCCAGGAGTCCTGTAGCTCTCAGCCTGTCATCATAAGGCCTATTTTCATGCCCTCTGATCATGTGCGTGGCTCTCCTCTGGACTCTCTCAAGCTTCTTCAGATCCTTTCTAGATTGTGGAGCCCAGAATTAGATATAGTACTCCAGCAGCATCTTCACGAAGGCCAAGTACAGTGGGATGATGACATGCTAGGATTTTCTAGAGAAGCATCTATGGATGCAAGCCAGAGTTTTGCTTGCTTTGCTGGATGCAACATCACATTGGTGGCTCAAATTCATCTTGTGGTCAATCATGACCCCCAAGTCCATTTTGGCCGTGGTGCTAGCAAGCGTAGCAGTGCTGAGCCTATAAGCATGATGCAGGTTTTTCTTCCCAAGGTGGAGTACTTTGCATTTTTCAGCATTGAAGGCCATCAGGTTTTCATCTGCCCATTTTCTGAGCCTGTCAAAGTTGGCCTGCATCACCATCCTGTCCTCAGATGTGGACGCTTTTCCCCAAAGTTTGGTGTCATCAGTGAACTTGGCCAGTCTGATTCTGACACCAATGTTCACATCATTAATATGAAAACTTTTTTGAAGTCAAGATATATGATGTCAATCTCCTCTCCCTTGTCTAGGTGATATGTCACCTGGTCATAGAAGGAGATGAGATTGATTAGGCAAGACCCACCTGCAACAAACCTGTGCTGGCTATCCCTCAAGAAGTTGCCTTCCGCCAGTTTATCAAGAATGGTCTCTTTGATGATTTTCTCCAAGATCTTTTTGGGGATGGAGGTCAGGCTGATGGGCCTTTAGTTCCCCAGATCTACTTTCTTTCCTTTCCTGAAGATAGGCACCTCATTGGCCTTCTTCCAATCCTCAGGCACTTTGCCTGAGCACCATGAGTTCTCAAAGATCTGTGCCAGTGGCCGAGCTATGATGCTTGCCAGCTCCTTAAGTACCCGGGGTATAAGCTGTCTGGGCCAGCTGACTTGAAGGTGTCCAGCCTCTCCAGGTGTTCCTTCACATGGTCAATACTGATAGAAGGTAACAGTTCTAACTCACCCATATAGTATTGAGCAGGGCCGTCCCCTGGGGCTGGTGAAAAACGGATGCAAAATACCCATTTAGCAGGTTGGCTTTTTCCTGGGTGTCAGTTGTCAGTTGACCCATATGGTTTAGCAGGGGTTCAGTGTTACCCTTGCTTTTCCTCCGGCTCCCCACATAGCTAAAAAAGGACGTTTTATTGTCCTTGATATGTGTAGCCAGTTGGAGTTCAGTCACAGCCTTGGCTTTCCTGGTTCACTCCCTACAGGTCTGGACCAGTGCAGAGTACTCCTCCTTTGGGGTGGATCCAGCCTTCCATGCTTTATAGGCCTTTTTTTTTTAGTTGAAGGAGGTCCAATAGTTCCCTGCAGAGCCAAGGGGGCTCATGTGTCCTTTTGCCGCCTTTCCTCCAAGATGGGATAAACATTGCTTGTGCTTCCAGGATTGCTCCCTTGAGGAGCAACCACTCATCCTGAACTCCCCTCCCCTTTGGGTTGTGGTCCCTTAGGGTGAGTGAGCTCCAAGGGAACCAGGACATTTTATGCATGGAGAGTGTAGCTTGAAAACCCCAGACTTTACTTCTTCCTTCTCAACCATTTTCCTTCGTTTTAATTCTAGGCACAGCTTTTTAAAATTAAAACTTATCAGTGGAACTCTTGACTGATTTAAGAATAATTAGAAACAGGAAAAAACATTTTCTTATCCTAGGATGAAATCACTCAGATACTCTCTCATCCCCTTCTTTACCCCCTAAATAGGCAGCCATTAATCCTGTCAAAAATTGAACCTGTCTAGCCTAATCTGCATCTTGTATGTTACCCCATTTGGTACTGAATACTGGCACTTGAATAATTGGGGTACTAAAAGGTAGGTGGGGACAGGGTGTTCATGCTGTAAAACTTGTGAGTCAGACTCTTTGAATTCTAATTTTCAGCCAGGGCCATAAGTATTTGTGATACACCTCTCCCCATTGCCCAAGTGATGGTGTCCTCAAAACATCATCATGTCTGGTAGGCAGTTACCTTCTACCATGGGAAGAGTAGCTTGCAACTCCAAGAGTGGCCAATAATTATTAGTAGTCATCTTTCAAGTCTGGCAAATTGAAAGGTGATGATCATAAAGAAGGAGCTGGCCCAGATTAAACTAAGTGGATTCCCTGCTTGAGAGCCTGGAAAAGACTGAGAAGGATCAAAACCAGGAGAATGACAAGTCATAGCAGGCCTTGGGGGCGGGGGGTGCGATCCTGGCACCTGATGCCCCTCTATGTTCCAATCCACCTGCTGGCTGTTTCCCAGCCCCACCTTGCCTCCAATCTTTTGTCTGCTACAACTCTGATGTTGGTTTGTTGGGGAGGTGGTCCCTGGGTATGAGGTTCTCACTGGTTCCCTCAATGGGCAGTTCTGCCTTGGTGGCTAAGTCTGCTCCACCTGGGGTCTGTACTCTCCCATTCTTGATTGCTTCCCCTTTAAGGGAGTGCTCTCTCAGGCTTCTAAGCATCCTTTGGAGCTTCAGCTGTCACTGCTGTGGCCCTCTTTTTCTCTGGCCACACCCTCAGTCTTGGTCTGCTCTCTAAGACCTCAGCTCCCAGTCATTGGTGCTGACTTGGCAGCAGTCCTTTCTGGGGGTCCTGTATCACCCCAGCAGTCTCAGCTCCTCTGGCTTGGGGCTAGGTTCTGTCACCCATAGTGGGGTGTGCCACTCAGGCCTCCTCACTCATGGCCTTCTCATCCCCTATAGCCACACCTGATCCTCTGATAGAAAAGCTCAAACACAAAACAGCAACCTAACTGGTCCTAACTTCAACATAAACCCCTCTGGAGCTCAAACCCTGCTTTGCAGGTTGGCCTGCTTCCATCCTGCCAGACCCTGAGTACTTCTCTTGTGCTGACTTGGTTTCTTGCTGCAGCCAGCTCTCTCCCTGGAGCTCTTTTCTCCTGCAGCCAGGGTAGACTGCCCCTCATGTGGTCAGAGACTAGGTGTATATGCCTCAAACCAGCCTTCTTCCAGTCATGTGATGGGATCTCTTGCACCCAGGGGCCAGCTGCAGATAACAACATCATTAACCACCTGGCCCTCTTATTCCATGGCTCAGTCCACCTGCGCAGCTACTACTCACTGCCCTTTCTAACCCTGAGTTTCTTGCCCTGTCCCACCTTCCTAGTAACAGAGGCAGGGGTTCCCTGTTATATAAATCTGAACATCTGTGGAAGATTCTCTTTGTGGTTCCAAGGGATCAAGCATCACTCTAGGCATCCTTTTCTAATGTGCATTTAAGTGCAAACATCAGCCAACATTTGTCCCATAGGAATTTTGTAGCACTACATTGTAGATTCAATCCTCAATTCTGTCCCTGTGTGTAGACTGTATTTTTGCTTCTGTAATGGAAAGTTGAACAATCAAATTCACCTTTAGTCGGTGATTGGCACCAAATTCAACTCATTATTCTGACAAGGACTCAGCATGTCAGTCAGTGAAAAAAGATGTATAAAAGTTGATTGAAATTGATTGTGAATGCCAGCTCCTTGACAGAATGATAAGCTAGGGCCACATTCAGTCATTTCTGGGTAAGCAGTGGCAGTAGGTGAGGCTTTCAATAGTATTACATTGCAGGTGTTGATTTCTCTGCAATTTCCCCATTTAGATTTGAACAGAATCATCAATTCTAATTTTCTGTCCCAAAGTATTGTTGAACAGCTGGATTACTGAACAGCTTCTTTTCTTATCCACAGGTTAACACACCGATCAGGTCTAACATCTAAAGTGCACAGAGGCTTAAAAATTAGGGTGTTCTGTTTTGCACCTTTGTAACTTGTTGTGGTCCCTCCCAACAATGTCTGACAAAAGATCACATTAGAATTTGAAACTTTGCCTTTCTTCTCAGTTGCAAATTTTCTCTTCTGTCCCAGGTAAATCCAACAGTGTGCTGCAAATGTGCTAGTTGGCAGGAAAAGAATACAAACGCATTACCTTAGCTTCTCTTTCCCAAAACAGTCCTGTGGTTGCAATCTAGAGAGAGAACCCCAGCCAACTCTTTCTCATTAGTGAGAGCAGAGCACCAATCAGTGTTAACTTTTTGAAGGAACTAGGAATGCATTTTGGAAAGGCCAGGTTTTCTAATATAATGCTCATAAAGGGAGCTGAGTTCTTTTGAAAAGGTGGCTTAGTTGTGTTCAGTGAGCATTATTTTTAAGTATATGAACATAGGAACTTTCAGAAGCTGGACAGCATCTGAGAGATTTGGGGGATTCTTTTAGCAATGTGTAAGATTTTGGGTTGGAAGGTGCTACAGAAATCAAAAGTTAAATAATTTAGTACTGCTTTCATACCTGAAGCAAGCGAAGCATGTGCAGTTCTCAGTACTTTTCTTGAACATGTTAAGAGAGGACTATTATTGGACATGCATTAAATTGCCTCCTTGACAAGCAGCATTTAGAAGATTTGCATGTTCTTTGTACAGCTGTTTCAACTTGGGGATTTTCTGTTTTAGTGTCATTACAGGACTCATATTTTTAGCTCCTTCCATGCAGTTGAGCAGATTCATGTCACATTGTGGTAATAATCAATCAAGAGAAGAGATAACTTAACTTAGCAGCACTGTTTCATATAATGGAAAGAATTATAGACTTCACCAGGTAGTCCAAGGAGTCTGGGTCCTAGCAGGGGGACTTTCTGCATTGTATGTGTATACTTTATCTTATTAATCAAATTGCACATACATTTATTTCAGGCAGCTAGAAAAAAAGTGTACAGGACCAAGGTGCATACCAAATGAATATTTGGTAGAGTGTAAATTCATTTCTAGTTTGAGAATTCTAAGAGAAATGTCACCATAGAGCAGGGGCTGTCAACTGGGGTACTTGAGAAGGTCCTAGGGGATATGCATGGGCGGGCAGAGATGGAGTGCTGACCATCCCGCACAGGAGCTGCCTGTCTGGATGGATGTAGGGGTTGGAGGAAGGTTGTACACAGCGGCTACTGCCACTTCACATTCAAGTGCACGCCACCCCTCCCACTTGACACCTGGCCGTGTGCCAACCCCCCACTTCCCCCCTGGTGTCTGGCCACCAGAGGAACACTAACCCAAAAAGGTTGAAAATCCCTGCCATAGGAGAAGGAAGTTTAGATCCATCAGGTATGCAGGGCATTCCATGGATAGCAGACTGACGGGCTGGAAACCATTGTTGGGCTCCTGTAATTTTACCAAGGGACTGAGTAGCAAATCTGCATGCATTCTGCAGCACTATGGCCATACATGTGTTCTTAAAGAATGATAGTGACATGGGAAGTGGGTGGATAATGAAAGCAATATGTCTTTTAGCATCAGCAATAAAAATCTGGCCTGAGTCATCTCTTGAAGTTAACAATCAAGTGTTTAGCAGCTGATTGCATAAGTGAGCCAGTTGACTAAGATTGAATCAGTTGCACCTGTGAAAATGTAAATGGAAAATATATGGAATCCCAGGCTCCATAGCATGCTGCTCCCAGTTTTGTTTGCTGTGAAGCAGAATTGAAAATTTTCTATGCAGTCCATTTTAAGGAAAGACAAATTGGGCAAGAGATGCCCTTCCTAGAAGCTGGGAATGAGAGCTAGTATGTATATCTTCCATGAATCTATAAGAGCAACAGCCACCATAATGAGCCAAAATGATACCTGTGACCAAAAGATGTTTGTTGAACCCCTGCAAGTTGGAGTGGATCAAAGCACAATATATACTTCACCTTCCAACAGCAATCCAAGTAATTGAGTCAGCAGTTACACCCATTATATTCTCTTGGAAATGAAATTTAGTGGGATTTTTTAGGCTTTGTGACTACCTCCTTTGAAATTTTGCATGAGCCATCCTTGTTTTTGTGCATCTGTTGAGACTGTCTGCCCAACAGCAGTCTCTTCAGTTCATGGGCTCAATAGACTGCAGTAGTTGCTGATTTTTGAGGCAGCAATTCCAGCAGGACAGAGTTGAGGGTTCTGTCCTTATATGGCCGTAAGTATAGTCTGATGTCTTAACTGAAACCCATCTGAATACCATTTTCTTGACACACAAGCATTGATGTTTGCTTCTGATTCTGAAGTGTTTTCAGAATCTGTACTATATGCAGACATATAATAAAATGAATATGCTGTTGCTAATTTACAAAATATCAATGTTGTGAATGATTCTGTTAATGAATTGGCTAGAGTATAATGATCTATTCTTGTTACCACTTTGGGTCATTAAATACTCTGTTAGTTTGAGTGGTACAGTGCTTTGAGGTAACCATTTTTTAAAATGAATTTACTACTAAACGCAAAATGCATTAAAGCAATTAACACTGACTACATCATCTCTTTCTCAGTATGTACGCATTGATTTTATTTGTTTTATGCCTTGCATCCATTTACTGCTAAAACATTTATGTTGGAATTTTTTTTTAATTGTAGCTAAATGTATCTATGGAGGCAAAATGTTAGCAGAAGGTCAGCGAGTTTTAACCAAGAGCTGCAGGGAATGCCGAGTAAGTGTGAAACTTACAAACTTCTGATTTTGTTTAAATGAATTATGTAGCTCAGATGACAGCGTTAAGCTGGTATACTGCTTTAGGCATGCATTGCATATGCGGCGTCCATTGTCTTCCAAAGGTGACCTTGATCTCACTGAAAACACACAGATGAAGCCAAACATGACATATTTAAGAATACAGAAATGTGTGTGAAATGTCTTACACAGTAACTCTCCATTTTGTCTGCTCCTTTGGGGCCCTGTACAAGAGGATTACTCTTAGGGTCAGACACAGATCCCAGCGCATTGAATTAAAACTGAAATGGCTGTAGATTTATACTAGACCAACTGAAAGTATCTGCCCCCTCCTGTATTTTTATAGTTAAATATATGTTTGAGTGCTTTGCTGGAATGTCCTTTGCTCCTGTTAACAGAAGAGCAACTTCATGTGAGTAATCCAGTTTCAGGCAGCTGATATGTACCTAAGTATGTACTGTGTTTTCTTGAATCTAAGATGAGGATTTTTCCTGTCAAACAGCGTGGTAGGGGGGTGGTGGGGGGGACCTTGTTTTGGATTCAACAGGTGGCAGCTCAACTCTGGATTTAACTCTGGGTTTGGAGCTAAAGCCGGAGCTGAGCTGCGGCCTGCCCCAGGCCAGAGTGGCTTGTTTGGCAGAGGAGGGGGCTTGCTTTTGGAAGGAGACCTTGGGGTGTGGTGGGGGGAAACTGCCCCCTGCCCCTACCCCTTGCCTGCCTGTGCCCGCCTTTTCCCTCTGTTATCCCATGCAGCCTACTCCCCACACTCCCTTCTCCCCTCCTACAGCTGCCCCTTTCTCCCCTTACGTTCTGCTCAGGCTCTGGTCCCTACACCCCCAACCTGGCTCAGCTGGGAGCTGCTGCTGCTGCTTCTCCCTGGCTTGACTGGGATGGGGCCAGGGCAGGGTTACACTGCTGCTGACTGCCCTGGAAGAGCAGAGCTGCAGCAGAAGGTAAGAGGAAGGGAGGGTAGGGAGTAGACGGGGGGTGCAAGCATGGAGTGAGACTGGTGGCAGGGTCAGACACAGACATGGGGCAAGGGATAGGAGGGCAGACACAGGCATTTGGTAGCAGGAGGTGAGAGAGGGGGGAACAAGCACAGGCATGGGGGGTAAGGGGTGGAGGCTGTGGGGGGAACCAGTTGTGGGGGAGGCAGGGTGTGGGAAGGTAGGCACATGCAAGGAGACAGGGAGCAGGAGCAGGTACAGGCACAAGTACTGAGGGGCATGTGGCAGGGAGAACATCTCAAGAGGTAGGTATGACGTCATAGGGGACAGGGGGGCAGGCAGAGAGGGCAAGGATCAAGGGAGCGGAGTGCAGGGGTCTCATCCTCTCACCACTGCTTTCCCTGCCACAGCAGTGGAGGGGGGGGACAAATTTAAGATGTCCCTCTAGTAATTAGATTTTATACATAGAAAATTACAACACATTTTTAATGTTCCATGTCTAGAATCTAATTATTGCGGGAGGGAGGTCATCTTAAATTTGAAGTTGTCTTGGATTTGAGTAAATATAGTAATGGTTTCATTTACATGTTGTTATTTTCCAACATGCTGCAGAAAGTAGATAAATGTTGGAAAAAAACTGTCCTTAACCAGATTAGTCCTAGAGAAGGAGAGGGAGTAGTTTATGAAAGGCTGATGGCTCAGCTAACTCTGTCATATATTTTGTGAAATAGATTTTTTGCATAATTTTAGGATGAATCAGTGGACAAAAAGTTATTTCAAATCCATTTTCCCCATAGACTGAGTTTTTTAATAATTTTGTTGTTTTTTAACATCCCTTTGAATATATAGACAACAGGCTAAATTACTTCCAGTTCAGTTGTCAGAATGTGGTAACTACATTATACTTCTGATAAACTTGCCAAAGAAAGCAGGGGTTGCATAAACTATTGATGGATCTGTAAGCTAGAACTATTGTGGAAAATGCAGCATTTGGAAGAGACTATCTTCATATCGCTATTGTATGTATTTGTGACCATGATGCACAAAATAGCATCAGTTGTGAATTCATGAATGGAAATGGACAATTACTTAATGCAGGCATGCTGTGAAAACAGTCTACTATGTAGAATGAAAATTACGTTATTATTATGATGATGCCTAGAAATCTAGAGTAGGATGCTAGGCACTGTACAAGCTAATATGAAGGCAAGGTCCTTCCCTTGAAGAATTTATAATTTTTGGGTTTGGGTCAATTTTGGATATCATATAAAACATGTACTGCAGAGATTCAAAGTGTCCTAGGAGTCGACAATGGCATACTGTGGATGGGGGAGAATAGGAAGATATTTATTTTAAATTGAATATACAGAAGAGGTCTAATTTCATTAGGTGAACATGGGTAGCAATGCAAGATATCCTATACAAAACATCATATTTATAATTTATGACTAGAATAATGCAGTGAAGATTAAAAATACCAAAATATCAGCTGTTAACTGTTTCTATTTGAAACATGTCATAAATGTAAAGTGAAAAGAGCTTTTGTATTTCACTTTTTGTGGAGGGAAGTTGATATGGCAATACTAATTCTAATGGTGTCACAGTTTATATTTTCCCCGTAAATGGAAAGGTTGCTGTAGCTGTTTGTAACATTTTCTAATTGTGGCCTTAGTAACTGTTTTTTGAAGTTTGATTAGAGTTCTAGTGTCACTTCAAAAAACAGGTGGACAAATTAAACCCACCTTCTTTGTAGTATATTGTTTAAAAAGCAAGTACTGCTGTGTGGGTCTGATTTCTGCATCAAGATAAGGTAATTCCACCGTTCAGGTGCCTTCATGGGGTTCTAAGCATGTGCCAAGTTTTATCCAAGCATTTTTCCCCACAAACCCTTACTGTTACAGAGGGAACATTTGTGCATCTTCTTCTCCCCCAACATTACCCCTTCTACAGTTACAGTTAGAAAACAAACTGCAAACTGCATATGCACATGCTCTGAAAACATCTTCAATATAGGCAGACAGTGCTGGAAATTTTAAATTCAATACATAATTAGTATGTACTACCTCAGGATATCTGACTGAACTCTGCCTGGGTTACCTGATGCTGTTGCTGAGACTTGTCAGCTGGTTCTGTTTCCTCACATTGCTACACTGAATCCACTGCTTCCTTGAATCATCCATGCTGTGCAGTATAGAGATGTGGCTAGGGCAGGTGAAAGGACAGTGTGAAAAGCATGGAGGATGTTATACCTCTGAGGCAGGTATGGGAGTGTGGGGTGAGAACTACCTATGTCATTAACTATCAGTGTTGTTACAGACTTCTAAATAAATAAATAAGAAGCCTAGGTCAGATATTTTCCCCCACAATCCTTTGGTAAAATCCAGTTAGTGAGTTTAAGGTACCAGTATAAGGTGACAACATTTTCCATGTCAGAGATCGACATGGGCATGGCAGTTTAAAGAAAGTGAAAATAGTTTGCAAGGTTGTTCATGAATCTAGTTATGTGCATGGCTTGTGTATGTCCTTAAGCAAGTTTAACAGATTTTTAATTTAAATTTTTGCATTGGATGGAATTAATATAATAATAATGCCAGATTCAGATAGATCAGAGCTTCTCTTTATCAGGCAATGAGCAGATTTTTTTATTTCTGAAAATTAATCCAGACTAAAATGGGATTTATGATGGCACATCTTCTTAACCATAAACACTTAAGTTATTGATGGACAACTGTTCACATGCTGCCAGCTGGAATCTCACTCACAAAACACTTCAGATTTAATTTCCAAAGCCAGACTGACAAAATTAGCACTTGGGTGCCTCCACAAAAATATAAATGTACTGATACAGCTTAAAGACCTTCACCTTTCTGCATTCACTGGAGGAGATCTGTAGCTTCTTACATTTCACTTATAAGACAGCCTGGACCTTTTGGAGTCAAAGGAAAAATTTTCCTTGACTTCAGTGGATCCAAGAATTTACTCCTGGGGTCTGTTGTTTCCTGGCAACATGTCCTTTTCCATCACCACTAGGTGTTGTCAGGTCTATTCCCAAAATGGTTTAACAATTGGCAAGAATGGATCTGAGGACAAATCCTTACATAACCTTTAGGAGTAAGCATCCAAGTTGGTGATTGTATTATAAATATCTGTATAGACAGACTGTAGATAGACAGACAGGTGGTTCTACATTTTGTGACAAGAGAAGTTGTGTCTTTAGCACCGATATAGATGTGGAAGTAGTTTAGCTTTATATTATGGGCTAAGATAAATACTGTACATGAACTTTCTGTTGAAATGATTATCAGTTGAAAAATTAAAAGTGGTAGTATTCAAAATGTTATCATTATATATCTGATCTCTTTTTTGCTGATATAAGGTATGAACCCCACATTGGAATCATGTGAATCGTATGGAATCAAACAGGAATCAAAGTTACAGTAGCAAAGATGAGAAGAGAACCAGACACGTGTGCCATAATTTTTATTATGTTATCAAGCGTGATAGCATGTGCTAACCTCCTGAGATGAACAGGAACAGTTTACACCTTTCTTTAAACAGACATTTCAGGCTGTTTTCAGATGATGGTACTGAACTGGTCTGTAGCGTGGAGAATTACTTTTGCAACCATAAGGAATTTAATTTTATTCAAGGTTAAAGCTTAGATTCCAGATTTAAATTATGCAAAAGGAGGTGGATTTATGTAGCAGTTGAAGCTTACCAATTTATTCTAGCAAAGAATTTAGCCTTTTGACTCTGATTTCTGTATGAGAAATCATGGACTCTGTGACTACTCTGAATTGAGTATAACAAATGCAGTGGTATCTTTCTAACACAGCCTGAAGCAGTAGTTCTGAGAAGTGTGAACTGCTCCTATTTATCTCAGTGGATTAAATCTGAAACCTAATGAAAATAATTTGTATCAATGGAGCTACATCAGTGTACAGCAGTGGGGATTTTAACCCACAGAGTGCTTCAGCAAAATGCTTTGAAAGATATTTTTTACCTAACAAATTGACTACTGGATATACTACAT